GGTTTCATAGTGGGGTTATAACTCACTCAAGAGAGTGCAGTTGCTGGAATCAGAGATAACACAGTGTGGGGCTGGAGGAACGCAGCAGGCCCAGGCAGCATCAGAGGAGCAGGAGAGTTGACCTTTCGGTTACAGGTGAATTGTCTACCCAGGCGTTCCTGCATGCGATTTCTGGCCAACGCCTGGTGACTTGCGCCTATTTGGGACCGAGAGCTGACTAGTTAAACAACAGGCTGACAGCTCACTGAATCACATCTAATTCCAAATTGTCTGGGGCTCCTCCATCACCTTTGCCGAATATGCCCCGAAAGACTTGGTCAGAAGTCCACACGACACCAGATGATGGTCCGACAGGTTTCATTTGAAATCGCAAACTATCAGGGAGCTGCTCCTTCGTCAGGTGGAGTGAAGACAAAAGCACAAGCACAGAATTTACAGGCACAGAGATCGAAAGATCATACGAATGGTGTGAGTAGAGTGTCAACGGGCTGGATAATAAGTCCCTGCAGGTGATCAAAAGTGTTAGATGGTGTGAGTAAAATGTTACCAGAATAGCAAGTGAAGGGATGACCTATGATCTGATTAATTGAGGCAAAGAGATAATGACAAAAAATTTAAAATAAGATGGTGCTGGAGATAAACCAAATGGCTGGAATAACATGATAGGTATAAGAGTCACATGCTGACGGTCTAACCAAAGTAACAAGTAATCCAAACCTATACAAACTAAGGTAAACAGAGCATAACTAGTAATTAAGGCGATGGTGTCAAAACAGGACACTATCACATGTGGGAACACCACCTACCACATACATAGCAGATACACATGTGACTCAGCCAATGTTGACTACTACATACGCTGCAGGCAAGGCTGCCCCAAGGCTTGGTATATTGGCGAGACACTACAGCAACAGATGAACGGACCCTGCACAACAATTGCCAGACAGGAATGTCTCCTCCCTATCAGGGAGCACTTCAGCGGTCAAGGACATTCAGACTCCGATCTTTGGGTAAGCGTCCTCCAAGGCAGACTTTGAGATACACAACAACGCAGAATCGCTGAACAGAAAGTTCCATTCCCATGATGACGGCCTCAACTGTAATCTTGGGTTCTTATAATGCTACATGTAACCCCACCATAATGTTCTGTATCTGTAAAATCTTCCTCACTGTCCTTACACTTTTGATCACCTGCAGAGACTTATTATTCAGCCTGTCATCACTCCAATCACGCCATTTGTATGAACTTTTGATCTCTTTGCCTATAAATTATGTGCCTGTGTGCTTCTCTTCACTCCACCTGACAAAGTAGCAGCACTCTGAAAGCTTGTGATTTCAAATAAACCTGTTGGACTATAACCCAGGTGTCATACGACCTTGCCCATGCTAGTCTAACACCAGCACCTCTACATCTACATCATGTCAAACACAGGCAAGGAATGATTAACATTCCTATGGCCCAGACTCCTCCATCACTGCATACGTTCTGGGGAGCTGAATATTGACACCAGATTCCATTACAGAGAAAATTCAGCCCTTTGAGCCTGCTCTGTCATTCATTTTGATCTTTTCTTCCCAGATCTTCTGAATCCTTTAGCATCGTGTGCTACATCCAACTCCTTCTTGAAATAAATGAGACATCATGTCAAACATAGGCGAGTAACGATTATCACCCTCCATACTGCCTCAACTGATACCATCTCAATAATAATTACAAAGATAACCTAGTCCTCAAGGACATATCTATCAGAGTGAGCCCTGCAATAGTTCGTCAGAAAACCGATATGGGGAAACCTACTTGAACTCATTCTTATTTATCTACCAGTCACAGATGCATACATCCATGGCAAGAGTGACCACTTTACAGTGCTTTTGGAGGCTATCTTCACAGTGAGGACACCCTCCAGGCTGTGTGGTGCTACAGCCTTGCAAACCCATGTTTTTCCAATTTAATGGAGTTCTTCAAGGAATGTCCAATGGATAAAAGCAAATCAGTGGATGTATCACATTTAGATTTCCACATTTAGATCAGAATTGTAGATAATAAAATCTCAAGGTCCAACAGGGAACAAATATAAGATTGTTTCACCAACAGAAAACAAAGGATAATCTTAAATAGGTCATTTTCTGGTTGGAAACATGTAATGAGGGATCAGTGAGGGGTCTTGTTGGAGTTGCCCACGGGTGAAGAGAATTTTTATTTGAGGGAGCGGTTTCCACATTCAGAATCATGGCCTTCACGCTCACAGCAACCAGATAAGATAATGAAGTGCCTCATAAAAATCTTAGTGGAGAAAGCTTGTTATTTCGTAGAGAGTAGAAGGGAACGTCTGATTCCACCAATCAAAGGCTTAAGTAATTGCCATTACATATTAAACATGTAGGTATACTGAAAGTGTAAGTGCTACTAACAAATAAACATTAATAAATTTAGGCAAATATCTGTAGACGTAGAGAGAAGACATCCCGTCAGCAGGGGAGATTGAAGGACAAATGGTATAAACACCGAATGACATATAATGAAGGGTATAAACAGATAACCTCATGAAAGGCCACCCGAAATCAGATAGCATTGTAAGGGGACAACTGCAAAACATTACTTAGTTATTATGACCTCGGCAAAAATAAACAATTACAGCTTCACAAGGAAACAAAGAGCACCCACTCAGTATGATGCAGCTGGGAAGGGGCATTAACAGTCAGAGGGGAGGGGGCAAGCGCTGATGTCAATGTTGGATGTAACCATTGTAACACGGAATGTATAAATATCCTGTACTTTATTGGGACAGGGGAGTGTCTTGGAGTCTGTCCCCAGAGAACCTCTTCCAGGCTGTCTTGTAAGGAGCTTTGGATAAAGATCAATTTGTGCTGCTAAACACAGGACTAAGAAATGCTTTAAATCCTTCTCCAACAATTGGTGCTGTGCACAGTGTACTACACCGATCAACGATCAACTGTGTGGGTCCTAACAGGGTGAGTATATTTAGCAGTATCACCCTTTATCAACCCCATAGTCAGTCCCAGCTGTAAGTTGTGGTACTAAGAGAACTAAGGGAGAGAAGGGAGTTGTGCCGTGTGAGGTGGAAAATCGACAGACCTTAGTTTAACTCGGGGACAGTACAGAACCCCACTGTTGAACAGGGAGATTAAAATCTGCACTGGGGATGGGAAACAGCCCCACAGCAGGACACAGACCCTATTTCACCCCGGGGAATGGTAATGAGCCCTTCAGCAGGACACTTAAGCAGAAAACGCAAAAGGGATTACAAGGTAGAACATAGGAGTGCGGTTAGGGAAATAAGGAGGGTAAGAAGGGAAGAAACTTTACATTCACCTTAAGCCTGGTTAATGCATCAGGAGCAGGGTCCAAGCAGAATGTTCAAGGAGGAAGACCAAGGGATATGTTCCCTAAAACTTGGCTGGAGACAGGAAGCTGCCCCCAACGCTTTAACGAGACCAAAATATTCCATGCCAACAGTCTGTCTCCACTAAGTGATTGTCTCAGTTATATATTTTCTTTATTCATCAGAACAAGCATCACAGATGTATCGGTTTAATTGGTTTTAAGTTTGGGAAGCTGTAAGAAGCAGCAGGTTTTTAATTGCGGTTATTACGTCACTGACATATTCGAAATGTGACCTGCAGATAGTTTAATAGAAAAGTTAGGATCATCATCAGCAGGAGCTGTATGCGAAATTGTAGAAATATGCAATGGTACTTATAAGTGTGTCCTTGATAAACTTTCAAAAGAGCTTATGGAAGGAACAGCTGAGTTACAAACAGTCCGTTTGTACGCTTTATAGTTGCACAAAGAAACTAGAAAGCTGCAGGAATTGGTAAAAGAGCTGCAAGTTAAAATTGATTACCAACAGGGAGTCACTGTACCCACTATGAGGAAAAGGCTGCATGTTGACCCAACATTGCGAAAGAACAAACTGGATGTTGATGTTGAAACTGATGAAATATACTTCTCTTCTGATAAAGCAAAAAAAACATATCCGAAAGAAATCTGTGAACAGACACAAGTGGGACTGTTACCTTGCAAGACCTTGAGAATATTGTTGACAATATTTCCCTTACTATTTCATCTCTGTGTGGTGAGACAAAGCCGGTGTGTAATGTCACCCGTGAGCCAGAAGGGGTGGACAAAGGAGTAAGACCCTTCGACAAGTTAGAGATCAGCAAGTTCCTTTATCCCATTGAAGTTAAAGGTGTCCTCTGTGAAAATTGGATCGTATTCACAGAGAATCACCATGACTGTTATAAGGAGACCATATCTTACATTCAACTGAGATCAGTATTAAACTAAGGAGTGGTCCGAAAGCATTTTAGGTTCAAGACTTTCAAATCTTATTTCATTGAAAAATTAAAAAAAATTTTAAACTGCTGTAGAAAGGATGTTGGGAAAAGTTGGTTCAGCTTGATCTCAAAACGTAATAAACCCTTTTGAAAGACATCCAATTTGAACTCTGAATTTGGAAGAAGAAATCTTCTGTCCATATGTCTTCTTAGAAAATGTTTTCTTTAGAACAATAGAAATCTAAAATGCCAAGTTGATTTTCTGA